CTTACTTAAATATCTGCCACGACATAAGTAACCGGATCAGAGTAACATTAAGTACAGTCCGCGGCACTGTGAGTGCAGACGTCGATGTGTCCCATTATCATTCATATCATATCACATCATAATGTATCATATATTTCCTTATCTGAGTCAGCTTCTTGAGCCGTATCTGGCCGTGCAACACTCACAGTGTCACATACTGTATGCAGAAGTATTCTTTTAAGCAACACATTAAGTTGACGAAACACTCGAGTCAAATGTAATTAAAGTCAGATCGTGTCTTAGACGGGGCATATCATAAACCTGTTAATGTACGCATTCAAACACTTTTTCTTTTACCAGCTGTATTCACCTTGCAGGTGCAGCTATGTGGCTTTTATCCTGGATAAAGTGTTTAAGTCATGGATGTTTAAAGTTTAACTTCTTCATATTTGACTAATATTAAAGTTCACTTTTCATTCAGGAAGTATGACGCTGCGCTGTCAGTACGCTTGTCCGTGTTTGTGATTGGTCGAATGCTCCAGATACCACCCCTTTCATGTGAACGCGCACCTAACTAGATAGGACACGGCTGGCTTGAGCGATCCACTTGATAACCAGCGTCGTAGTACAGTTTAGCGAGAGCGCGTATGTTTTGGATTGGGCCAACCGGCTAACTCAAACATATCCAGGTTAGGTTGAACCAGCTTCGTAGTACAGGCCTCAGGTGTGTTTGTGTTCCTGTGTGCAGAACAATAACCTATACATGTGTCTAATATTGATGTGTTTCAGTTCAGAGTTTCAGAGGTTAAAGGTCTACACCACTCCATCAGCTGCGCTGCTTTCGTCTTCGTCACCATTTTCGCCGTCCAGATTCTCGTCTCTAAGAAGTGAGGAGCACTTAACATTCACTTATTATGAAATAGAAGTCTCTTAATTATTTTCAACAATGTTAATTATTTGTTTTCTTAGTAACTTTGAGATGGCGGTATCGTACGGTGTGACCTTCCCTGTGTTTGTGCTGCTTCTGTCCATCGCTTTCACCGGGTACCTGGAGGTAAATTAGTAGTGACTGCAGTTATGGTTATGTATTGAGTTTTATATCAACAGGTGATCACTATATTGATTAACAGCAGCAAATGATAGCAGGTGCATCTCAATAAAAGAGGAAGAGAGAGAGTGACAAGGCTTTGAATTCATTATTCAAAACATTCTTAAATGACTCCAAGAACGGCCTTGATTGGTAGAAAAATGCCTAAATGAATGTCAATCTAAGATGTGGTAAGAATGTACATTTTTTCCTGATATTGCAATTTATAATCTCTAAATAATTGGTCAAATCTGTTTTGTAAATCATGTATCTTGCATTATATTTAGTTTGAGGCAAATTCAAAAAGCAGGGTTCTTACGGTCATTAAAAACCTGGAAAAGTCATGGAAATTCAAAATGCTAATTCCAGGCCCTGGAAAAGTTATGGAAAACAATATTTTTCCCAAAGTTTTGGAAAAGTCATGGAAATGTAACTAAAGTTGCATCAAATATAATTTATATTTTATCTAATCACCAAAATAGTAATACTATAATGATAATAAATACTGTATGGTATAGTAATGAAACGTAAAATGGCATTTAACTGACGAGGTATTTTGCTGGTGAGAGATTTGAGTTGCTTAGAAGCTAGTAACCCTACTATTTGATTTGTTTTAGAGAAAGAGTAATGTTTTTGGTCATGGAAAATTAGGTAAAGGTCATGGAGAAGTCATGGAAAATCATTGGTGAAAAAGTGTATGAACCCTGAATAAGGGATGGCTATTTAAGAACTTGCGTCATGACTTGAAACTGGAACCAGGCGATGTTTAGTGCAAAAAAAGTGTTTTATTTGTGGTTAAATTGGCCTTAAATGAGCCATTTAAGAGGGATTAAAAAGTATTACATCCAACATGTCTTAAGCTGTAGGAACCCTGGGTGAAAATAAATACTTACTTGTGGTTGTTTAAACTTTTGAATCAGCCTGTCTGTGTTTATTTGTTTTGCAGAAATGGCGTTCGAAGATGCCGCTGGGTGTTCAGTGGATTTCTGGTTTGTCTAGCGGCGTCTCCAGCCGGGCGGCGCTGCGTCTGTTCGTGGTCGTTCTCTGTTTGCTCATCACGCTGCTGATGGCCTTCCTCAACTTAGTGAGTTCCCCCTCTGCCTCCTGATCTTCTGTCACAATTGTTTTTCTTTCCCTGGCATTAAAAACGTTAAAAACTGCTGAAGACCTATCTTTTTACATTGGCTTTTGTTTCTACTTGAAATGTTTGTGATGTGTTCTGTTCTTATGTTTGTTCCTTTCAGGACTCCACGTAATCTGTGTTTCGTTTTTCTGTTAACCTTACATTTCTGCCTCATGTTGTTAATGTATTCATGTTTCTGTGCTCTTAATTTTAACTTTTTAAGGTTCTTACTTGTGAAGCACTTTGTGAATTTTATTTCTGTGAAAGGTGCTATAATAAATAAACGTATTATTCATAGATCCATTTGTTGTTCTGTCAATCACTTTCGCTTTTTCCTTTCTCCTGTTTTGTCTCTCAGATCTTCATCCCAGGAAACAACTGCACCTCCATCACCGACGGGAAGGAGCTGGAGGATCTCCAACTCTACTCTGTGCCTGTGAGTACCTCCAGGTCACATGTTATTTATCCATGTTTCATCTATATTAATAGATTAATTAATACTAGTTGAACATTACATTTTTACATTTGTATGTGTTTTTTTAAAAATATTTTTCTAGCTATTGTGCTTTTTATCATGTTTTTAATTATTGTTTTATTATTGTACTCCCATTGTGTTATTTAATATTTATTGCCTGTACAGCACTTTGGTCAACTGAAGGTTGTTTTAAATGTGCTATATAAATAAATAAAGATTGAGATTGAGATATATTAAAAGTCTTATAATTCCTACAAAAAACCACCTGAAGCTTTGTTGAAACAGCTAAATAAAAAAAAGGACTAAAACACACAGAAAAAAACGCTAAAATGAGAAAGAACAAGAAATAAAATGTGTAACTAAGTTTCCCGGTTATGTTGAATTCGTTTTTTACACTTGATAGGCAAACTAATATTTGGCCTTCAATGTTTCTCCACCTATAAAAGGAGAACTGTACCCTAAAGTTCATAAAATAAGGTTGTTTATAACCCTGGGTAATCAGAATCAGAATGTGTAGAAGTGGAAAAATAAAGAACCAAAAATAGCAAAATATTAATTAAGAGGCATGCATTAAATATTAAAGATTGGAGAAATTACAATTCACAAACATACACATCCAGGTGGACAGAAAAAAGTACCAGTAACAGTATTAAAAATAAAGTGTAGCATGTATAGAGTATTTTGATAGCAGCCAGGTAACACTAGTGAAAGTGGAAGTATATATTGCACACTTATTACAGATTGTGTTAATTGTGAAAATACAAAATAGCAGCCAGTAATAATACTAATAGTAAGAGTACTTTTTTCTTTAGGTAGAGCTTCAGTACAGTCACTGATAGTAAGAGTAAGTTTCTTTAGGTAGAGCTTCAGTACAGTCACTGATAGTAAGAGTACTTTTTTCTTTAGGTAGAGCTTCAGTACAGTCACTGATAGTAAGAGTACTTTTTTCTTTAGGTAGAGCTTCGGTACAGTCACTGATAGTAAGAGTAAGTTTCTTTAGGTGGAGCTTCGGTACAGTCACTGATAGTAAGAGTAAGTTTCTTTAGGTAGAGCTTCGGTACAGTCACTGATAGTAAGAGTAAGTTTCTTTAGGTGGAGCTTCAGTACAGTCACTGATAGTAAGAGTAAGTTTCTTTAGGTAGAGCTTCGGTACAGTCACTGATAGTAAGAGTAAGTTTCTTTAGGTGGAGCTTCAGTACAGTCACTGATAGTAAGAGTAAGTTTCTTTAGGTGGAGCTTCGGTACAGTCACTGATAGTAAGAGTAAGTTTCTTTAGGTGGAGCTTCGGTACAGTCACTGATAGTAAGAGTAAGTTTCTTTAGGTAGAGCTTCGGTACAGTCACTGATAGTAAGAGTAAGTTTCTTTAGGTGGAGCTTCGGTACAGTCACTGATAGTAAGAGTAAGTTTCTTTAGGTAGAGCTTCAGTACAGTCACTGATAGTAAGAGTAAGTTTCTTTAGGTGGAGCTTCGGTACAGTCACTGATAGTAAGAGTAAGTTTCTTTAGGTGGAGCTTCGGTACAGTCACTGATAGTAAGAGTAAGTTTCTTTAGGTAGAGCTTCAGTACAGTCACTGATAGTAAGAGTAAGTTTCTTTAGGTGGAGCTTCAGTACAGTCACTGATAGTAAGAGTAAGTTTCTTTAGGTAGAGCTTCGGTACAGTCACTGATAGTAAGAGTAAGTTTCTTTAGGTGGAGCTTCAGTACAGTCACTGATAGTAAGAGTAAGTTTCTTTAGGTGGAGCTTCAGTACAGTCACTGAATGCCACGCCTCGTTTGTCATAACACACATTCTTCCTCCTGTCCTGAAACATGCAGTATTACCTGTACTGCTGCTTGCTGGCCATGCTGGGAGTGATCGTGTTCGTGCGGACGTGCCTGTCTGTGAAGGCGCTGCTGCTCACGCTGGCGGTGGTGGTTTATCTGGCGCTCTTCCTCCACGTCTACGCCCCGAGGTCACACTGCCTCAACAACATGCTCTACAACAACGCCACCAAGTGAGTCACGCAGCAGCAGAATAATAAGGAATGCAGCTGCAGCAGAGGAGCTCTGATTTTGAACAGCTTTTGTTAGAAAAATATCACTCGTCACCGGCTTCACCTTCAATAATAAGGATCCATGTATTTATGATCCTCTCAGGAATGGAAGTACATACAGAGCATCTAATGATGAAGCGATTAGTCAAAAAACTCAATTGACATTTCTCCACATTTTTACGTTTACATACAGCAATTTAAATCATTAACTGATGGTTCCAGGTTTGCTTTAAAGTGTCTTTTAAGAGGTAGTCTAACTTGCCTTTAGCTGTAGGAACAGTGGGTGAAACAAATACAAACTTGCGCTTGTTTAAACTTTATATTTTTCTGGCATTCACTTTTTTTTTTTTTTAGCATTATTTTAAATCAGCTTTTCTATGATGATGGTTCCAGGTTTTTTTTTTTAAGTCACATTTTAAGATTGATATCATCATAACTAGAATATCTATAATTAAGGTATATATAAGGTAATATTAAAGTGCACCTATCATGCTATTTCTAGGCAATAGCATAGGTCTCAGATATATACAAATATATAAAAAACATGTCTATGAAGTGTTTTGCTCAAAATACCAAACAGATCACCCATTCTAGCCATGCCTCATATCGCTCTATTTCACTTCCTGTTTCAAAAGTGCTGATTTGGGGTATTTACATTTTTTTTAAATTGATACAAATAAAAAGGCCCTCCTTTTGCGGGACCCGGCAGCTACCGTCTAAACTAAATACTGCCGTGATGAAACTCCATATCATGGATTATCAAGGATTGTTTCTGAAACAGTATGGAGCTCAAAGGCTTTCTCTCTTGCCGGTTATACCACAAGGTGAGTTCCTTTTTATTTCCTGCTTCTTCACACACATGCTCTCCAGTACAGGTTAGCTCTGAGTGTTAGCGATGCTAATGTAAACATGCACCGACCATATTACGTCCAAAACAGTCGGGCATTGTTTCTGATAGCAACGTTTCTGATAGGCCCGTGGGTCCACATTTCAGATATTACGTCATATCGGACGCAAATCTGGATCAGCTCCGTTGTAGCCCCGTTTTTAGAGATTTGGGTACGGAGGAAAAGAGAGAGGGTTTTATTTTCTGACGCTGCGTGAGTTCCCTGACACACCGGGGACACATGTTGATGTATAAAATACATCAAAAAGAGCATTTTGCATGATAGGTCCCCTTTAAGGTCTCAACTTTGGCTCTTAGAAATTGTAATGGCCATTTTTTACTTATTCCCCAAATCTTATCGACCAAATAATGAATCAATACATTGGAAAAAATACTCCACAGATTAATAACTGATGAAAATAATTTTCAGGTTTCTTAAACTGTATTTGGATTAAAACAAAGAGAAAATTCATTAAAAGCATGTCGACTAACTCAATATCTTGCCTCTTATTTAAACATAAAGCCATGAAAGTCAGGAGGTAAAGATGTATAATATAACACAATAAAAGCACAAAATATCATACAGTAAGTTATGAAGAGCCAAGTTTAAAGTAAGACCTCACAATTTCAACCACTTTTGTTTAGCCTGTTTAAGTACAGTACTTAAAGGTCCCATGCCATGCTTTTCCGGTTATTACCCGTCCCCTTGTGTGTTATGAAGGTTTTTCTGCATGGTCTGCAGAGTCACAAACCCTCAAAGTACACCCTGTAGCGAGTAAAACTCTAACACAGAGAAGACCTGTCTATGCTGCCCCAGAACGCCTCGTTGGGGATTTCTCTTTTTCCATTGTTTACTTCTTGGGTATAGTGACGTATTTCAGGTATAGTGACGTATTTCAGGTATAGTGACGTAACGTAACGGCTCCGCAGATTGGTCCAAATGGGCCAATCAACGTTTGGACCAATCCGCGGACTTCCTCACACACACACACACACACACACGACGGGACGTTGCGAGGCTCGCTGCTGCGAGGAGCGGGACACTGTGAGCTGGCTCACTGGTGTGGGGTCGGCGAGACAGCGAGACACCGCGGAACTCAGCCTGGGCACACACACAAACTCCCAGCCAGGCTGCGGGTGTGTGTGTGTTTCGGGCTGGGTTTCGCTGTGTCCAACTGTGTCCAAAACCAATGTGAGTTTGGAAAATTGCACAATATAAATTTATTTTAGTATACCACCTCAACAATGGAATTATGATCAGTAGAAATGGCCATGACATGGGACCTTTAATATTCTTATATTTTGATGATATTGTGTTACTAGATGAATAAGATGCATGTGTGTGTGCAGGTATGATTATATATAAGTGCTTTAGCCTGTTAGCTATGCACACAGAGTCTCAGTAAAGTTCACTTTCCACTCGTGCACATTCACTCACAGATCTATAGTCCTCACTTTGTCCTCCTTGCTGGTGTTAGATTTCCCGCCTTTTGTCTAACACTCTCAGTCCAGATTGTGAATCCTTATCTGGAGTTTCAGATCACCGTCAATTATTCAAGAGCTTTCTGTAACGAGAGGCACACAAGACACTGTATTATGTAATGGAAGAAGAAAAGAGTGACGATTATCGGATAGTATACCAGATTATGTGTGAGTTTGGCTCTAAAAATGTGTCTTTCTACAGGCCGGGAATCTTGAAGGACCCTCAGATCATGTCCGGGGTTTGGCTGGTCATCTTTTACATCGTGTGCCTCATACTGGCCAGACAGGTATGTGTGTGTTTTTGTCATTTCATTTCATAAAAGAAATCAATCTATATCCACATTTGATCATACCTATTTGTTGTTTCTCTGTCAGGACGAGCTGAGTTGCCGGGTAGACTTCCTGTTGGACCACTGCTTCAAGACGGAAAGAGAGGAGATGGAGACGATGGAGAACGTCAACAAGCTGCTCCTTCAGAACGTGCTGCCGCTCCATGTCGCCTCCTACTTCATTGGCAAAAGTATCCGCAACCAGGTATTAAATACCCGTCATCTGCCAGTGTTGTTCTCTGGTTAGCTATGCCAGCTTATTAAAGCGAATACAGCACTGTATATATTCTAACACAGCATCTTAAGCTTATATTAATATTTCATTTTATTTCATCTTTTATCAAAGTTTTTACTTATTTAGTTTATAATATACATGTATTTTTTCTATTTCTTTATTTTACATTCTCACATATTTTTATGTTCATATAAATGTTAATATATTTTTTATTTATTTATTTAAAAAGGTTTTTCCAAGGATACATTAAGAGCTTTTATTTAGATTTTTTTTACTGTATGCAGAGTTTCATATTTGATTGAAATTGAAAGACAAAATGCATTTGAGATCACTGAAATTAACCGTGAGGTCTGAATAAAATAGGTTTGCATGCATGTATGTTAAGAGACATGATATATTTGTATTGATTTAGTTGCATTGTGATTCCTGCGTTTATTTGGGAATATAATCAGGGTGTCCGCGGGGTCTTAAAAAGTATTAAACGTTGATAAATCAATTTTGCGAAAATTAAGGCTATTAAAAAGTATTAAACGGCATTTTCCAAGGTATTACATTTTGTAGCTTGTTTCCAATAAGTATATAAATTGTCCAAAGAGGTTGTATTCTACAGTTTGCCTGAATGTAATCATTGCGTAGGTGTGTAGTGTGATTCTGTGTAGTTTATTTATGGCATCCCGTTGGGTTTGACGTCATCTGAACAGGACATCGCACGCTCACTGCTTGATAGCGCGCGAAGGTCCGTTTACGCCGGTTGTTAAACAGCATCGTTATGGGGAAATGCAAGTTTGCGTCCAAATGGTTGGAAGATAAGGAGGAAGGACAATCAATACTGTATATAGTAAATGTGAGGTAAAGTGTGTCGCCAATGTAACCGGTTAAAACTCGAAGTGGCGATGAGGTCTTAAAATGTATGGAAAGGGTCTTAAAAAAGGTCTTAAAAGTTATTACATCTGACTTCAGGATTCCTGCATATACCCTGTACAATGTTCTTGTATCTTAACCAATAAACCAATGTGAAAAAATGTATCCGAAAAGTAGAAATCCACCACTTATAAATGAATGTTGACACTAAGTTGATGGTTTCAAATGCTTGTTATGTTGTAACTAAGTCCTTTTTCATTTAAAATGTGTGTTTCAGGACCTGTACAGTCAGTCCTACGACTGTGTGTGTGTGATGTTCGCCTCGGTGCCTCAGTTTAAAGAGTTCTACAGCGAGAGCAGCGCCAACAGGGACGGGTTGGAGTGTATGCGCTTCCTCAACGAGATCATATCGGACTTTGATGAGGTATGAGGAAGAAGATTAAACATCCCCCGTGTCACATTAGGTCTGTGTCCTTAACTGCACTCTTTTGTTTCCAGCTTCTCTCTAAGCCCAAATTCTGCTCAGTGGAGAAGATTAAGACCATAGGCAGTACGTACATGGCCGCCGCGGGGCTGAGACACGCTCCACTCTGCAATGAGGAAAAGGTTTGTTCACTACAGCTACAGCTATCTTTAATAACGTTTTCAAATCAAACTCTTAGACACCCTGCTCTCTATAAACATGGTCTCTGGCGCCCCCTACAGAAAGTGGAGATGTCCTACAGCCATGTGCGCACCATGGTGGAGTTTGCCATCGCTCTGATGAACAAACTAGAGTTCATCAACACACACTCTTTCAACAGCTTCAAACTCAGGATCGGTGAGTCACCATTAGGCCAAAATTGACACAAACATAACATTTCATAAGCTTGAGACAAAACATAACGCTGGGTTTCCTTCCCCATTATTTCCCTAATATAATTTGTACACACAGCAGCAAGTATTTTGGTTTTTACAAATCTTTTTGTCATGGAATGTTCAGCCCACATATATTTTCAGAACACGTGTAAAAATGTCTATTGCAGTTTCCCAGGAAATCTCCATATTTGAAAGGGTAAAAAAAGTAACTTCAGATATGAATCAATTATCAAAGTAGTTGGCTATTAGTTTTCAGTTAATGGACTTATTAACTTGATTTTAAACTGTACAAATAAAGGTAAAAAATCGCGATAAAATAAAGAAAATTACAGTAGCAAAGAAATCACAAAACATATTTCTAGACTAGAATAACAACTCCAAGGAGGACATTTTTTAAAACACAAAGATATGTTTTTATGTTAATGAAAATGTAAGGATCCTTCATGTTTTTATACCTGCAGGAATAAACCACGGTCCAGTGATCGCAGGAGTGATCGGAGCTCATAAACCTCAGTATGATATCTGGGGGAACTCTGTGAATGTGGCCAGCCGGATGGACAGCACCGGAGTTCTGGACACGATACAGGTCAGAAAAAGGTGGAGGTGGCTGATAGGGTGGGGGGCACCTGTGAAGTATTTTTGTAAGCACTGTCGGAAGTTAGGGTATAAAGGAACTACATGACAATCATATGACTTCACATCACCACCGCTAAGCTAAAGGTGCTAATGTTTGACGTCTCATTGAGTCACTTATTAGCCACCATCCTTTTTAAAATGCGTAAAAGCTTCAGACATTTACGAGTGAGGTATTTCCTGATTTTATGTCGTAGAACAAAATATGAACATCTTGTGTTAACCACAGACCTTTATTCAGGCAGCTAACAAAACCAATTTAAAAAAAACATCCAGGCGAGGAAATCCTTTGGTGCTAAAATGCTAAAAGGGATGCAAAGGAATGAGTGCTTAATGCTGAAAGTAATGTGTGTTTAAGACTTTTTAAGAGGGAAACATTTATGGTTTTTAAACACTCACACATTATGTCTGTTCTCCTTTTCCCTCTGCTTCCAGGTGACGGAAGAGACGGCCCAGATGGTGGAGAGCGTGGGATACAACGTCACTCTGAGAGGCGTCGTCAACGTGAAGGGCAAAGGGGAACTCACCACCTACTTCATCAACAAGGGCCACTCGTTCCCTCAGTACTGAGCTCCAAGTGGAGATGCTAAACAGACTAATCACTCAGACCTGGAGTCCAAACTTTAGCAGCTAATGTTTGATTGAATTAACTATTACCTTTCTGTGACCATCACAAACTTCGCACTGACTTTAAGAAGCTGCCTTGGTCTTCTGGATGAGACACAAAATAAAATCTGGACCGATTAAATGAAGACCTGGAAACTGAAAGCAGAGTTTTCTCCTCAGGGATTGTTTAATGGCACATCATGTTGCTTACACTGTATTATTCTGAGAACATATCATCTGAAATGATCGTTTTGGTACACTTCTGAAATACATGCACTATCCAACAGTGTTCATGTACCTGTCATTTATTGGGGACAAAAGATAGATGTTCCAAAGATTACAGTTGTTTAATGAAGGATTTGAGAGGTAGTTTATACCTCAAATACGCAAAATAATAATATATATCAATATAATTGTTTTATTTTAACTTATTTACATGTTTTCACTCCATTGTGGTTTTACTGAGTAACGAAACAGCATTTAAAAAATGTTACAGAAGTGTCTTTAAATGTAGGAAAAATGGGGTTAAACAATGTGTGTACTTTGAAGAGTCATGTGATACTCATTGGTGTTTCCACAGGTTCCCACCCTCCAGTATGGTGGGTTACGAGATTATTCACAGTAATCTATGTTTTTATGTGGAATCCTGGATAGGTTAACCAATGAAAATGACTCATCTCACTCAAGCTCTCGCACCCCATAAACATTTACAAGTACACATTGTTTACTAAAGGTGTCACGATCCATATAAAGTAAGGAGCCACTGGTTAACGGTACGATCGCTCACTGCTGGAGACGGGGAGCTGTGCTGCAACCATGTTGATTTAAATAAGAATCGTTTTTATATTCACTACTACCCACAACTGACTCATTAAGCTACAACACTTCAGCATCCTGGTATACAGATGGATTGTGCCATGAAAAGTCTGATAAAGCACATTTGATATTGCACTTTTACGTATGTTGTCCTATATGTTGTATTTTTGAAAGGTAGTTCTGCATTACAATCCAAGTGTTGATTGAATATTTATCCTTTTCTTTTGAGTATGTATTTCTGTGAGGGATGATGTGGAAGTGTGAATGCAAGAAAAAAAGTGTATGTTCATTATAGGGAAATATTTTTCTATTTTATTTATAAACTAATAAAGAAGATACAGCTATATTCTGTCTGTATATCAGATTTTTCTCTATTCAAGAAGAATATATGTACATCAAACATATACACACAACACATTGACATCAGGGGGTACACATATACAGAGAAATATATATATTATAATATACATATTGTTGTAATTCTAAGTTAGAATGTGCAATATTTGGTTTAGAGTCAGTCCATGTCTTTTCTTTAATGTGACATTTTCTCAAAAACATCATATTTTTGCATAAATACTACATTACGTGTGAAGAACAGTGGAATTTCCCGCAGTCTCGGAAACGCCCACGTGCGCTCTGATTGGCTCAAACAACTCGCCCGGTGAACTTTTCTCACTTCCTATTGGCTCCCGCTGGTGACTGTCAGGCTGCTTCCTGCTTCACGGTGCGGTTTGTTGTTATTGAAGCGTAGCTCCTTTAAATGTGAAGGGAACTATATTGACGTTCAGAGTTGATGAAGTTGGTGAGTGTTTTATAAAAGCCTACATATTTTTCAAACAAAGTTAACTACGTGATTTGTCCGTCGAAAATGTAGTGGCGATATAGTTTGTTTTAAAAAATTGACCTCCTTTTGAATGAAGTAAGTTTAGAGTTACCTGTCGAAGGTGAATTCGCATTTCCACCCTGTTTGTCGTGGTTTTAAAACTACTCTTAATTCATTTTACAGGTTATATAATGGACTTAATTCCTTCGTGAACCCGGCTATAGAAAAAGACACGCAGAAGATGTCAGGGGCTCATGAGCAAACCAGGAAGCGACGCCCCCAAAAAATGTTCTTGATCTCGACCGACCTGAAGGTTCAGGACCAGGTGGACGGAACCATTAAGCTGCTGCGGGGGTTCATCTGCCAGGAGCAAGAGGCGGGCCGGAGCAGAGGCGACAGCTACTGGGTCAAGGTATAATAAACACACATATACTTAAAAGACAGACTATCAATTACAATGGACATAAGTGTAAGAAAGTTAAGAAAACATGAATAGTTTATCCAGTAAGCCTTTATATTTGCATGCATATAATACACTTGATCTCATATTGTACTGTATGCATGTAATATTAAGTTAGCTAATTATGCAAGCTATAGCAAACCAGACCATACTACTGTAACTTCTCCTTTTTATCAAGACAATATAATTAAGATTGTTCATAATGCATTCATACCAAGGTGCATGTAGGTTATCAGGTATTGGATGTGCACAATAAATAGATTGAACAAGAATATACTTGGGACATTTATCGTGCAGCAATGTAAAACATAGAACACACAGTCTATGATATATACCCAATTCAATTATATATTTGTATACTTTTTTATATATGTGTATGATAGGTGTGTCTATTTATCTATTGATTTGTTTATTTTATTTTATCTATTTTCTGAACTAGCTTTTTCATTTGTCCACCTTGAATCATATCGATACAGATACTTAAAAAAAACACAGAAACTCAGTTTGATGTCATACAAGATAAAATCATTTCTCACCTGTCTACAGTAACTGGCTTTTAAAAGTCTCTTGATGTAAAAGGCGGTTTAAGGTGAGAGAGCGCGACGGGCAGTTTAACACCAACCTACTACTTATTGCAATACATTTTAATCCTACAATGTGCCTTCTGTCATGCCACATGTTGTTGAGTCACCCTTTTTAAATGGTGTTCAAACTTAATCTCACTTCCTGAGTGTGGTACCCTGTGGTTCCTTCACACTCACTGCTGATTTCTTTCCACAAGCTCATATTTCTCTTTCTCTCTGCCTCCTGTTTTTCACCACAGGTGTTAGACAATGACTTAATGTTGAAAATAGAGAAGAAGTTCCTGCTGGAAATCCCGTCCGACCTCAGCGGCCTTTTGGAGGCTGTTTCTGATCCAGAGGCCCGACTAAAGCTTCTAAGTAATGCATTTAATACTAACTAGCAGTGATGATAGTGGAAGTACAAATATACAATTGTTTGGTAAAATAACATTGTGTTTTTAACCTTCCTGTTGTCCTTGGCTCAAATTTGACAAAATGTTTTTTATGTGTAAGCTACATTTGTCCACACAATGTATTATGAACACTATCATTGGGTTTTTGATTGTATTCCAATGTATAAATTAAATATGGTCTTCTGGGGTCAATTTAGTAAAAATCATCATCAACATTTTTGCCTGTTTTAACTCAGAAATTAGGTTTGATTTTGTGTTAATGAAGTCTAATGGCGCGTTTCCACTACACGGCCTCGCTCGGCCTCGCTCGGTATGGTTAGGACTGGCTCACTTTATGGCGCATTTCCATTACAGTTTAGGAACTGGGGCAGTATCTATAGTAACGCAGTGTAGGCGGAGCCGTGACGTCATCTTCAATGAGAACCACAAAACCAACATCAGCCGTTAGCTGTTAGCACTCAGAGCTCACAGCTCCTCATATATGTTCAGAAACTAGACAAAAGTTAAACAAGTACAAACCACAGACTGCCTGTGTCATGGTGAATACAGTCGCTGCTTTATTTATGTCTGTATAGGCCGTTGTTGTGAGTGTGGACGGTCGGAGCATATACTGCGTTAGCTTAGCCAATCTCCATTTAGAAAACACGCATTTTAAAAGGTGTTTCGCCTGCCGTCTGTCTGCAGACTTGACAAAGCATTAATTCATGGTTTTTACTAACCGGTATCAGTATGTTGTTACTTCGGCATCATTTTGAAACGTGTATTACAATTAAATCACGGTCAAATATGTCCATCTTGTTGTAGTTGTAGCCCCCTTGCCAGCGATGCTCTCTCTAGTTTAGCATACTCAGCCCGACTCAGCCTCGGTGTCTCTGGCCCTAGACCCACGATTTTATGAGGCCAGAAAAACTGTGAATTAGGACCCGCCGGCCGGTACTAGGCCAAGTGGAAACGCAACCAAAGACGGGCCGCTGACGTCACAGCCCTCTTAAACCGTGCTCCGCGCTGTAGTGGAAACGCGCCATTATTGACCGTCATTTCAATGAGAAGAGTACAACTAAAACCAAGTGGGTAATTATGTGCACTATAAGCTTTATAAAGAGTCACAGTTGACAGAAAGACAGCACAAGGGTTAAATGTGGAACATGTGATGTATACAGGGGCGCTCCTTTGCGAACAGGCAAGGCAGGCAACTGCTTGGGGCCCCGCACCAGAAGGGGACCCCCAAAGAAGGTAGAATAAGAAGGTCCACAGCAACGACAACACGAAACACCCTTTAATTTACTGCAACGACATGTCGCGAAACCCCCTCAAGGCGGCCCCATGCATAGCGCGCCGTAAAATGCCTTGCTCTGCTCCAGCGGGCTGTCGGCTGAGCGTGGTGAGGAAAAGCTGGTTCGAGGGGCCCCCCACGGACTCTAGGATCGCCACTGGATGTATATGATGTTAAACAACTAGCTTTGTAATGTTATATTTAGCATATCAGTTATTTCCTCCATCTGTAATAAGGTTGTCCTTTTTATTTGTATTTTCTAGGAGATCCTGGGAAGCTGCAGACTTTTGCGTCTCTGCCCGTTGATTCTCCGCTCTGGGTCCAGATCGGCCAACAGGATGAGCTGGCAGAGGCAGACCTTAAATACATCGGGCCGCGCTCAAGAGGGAGCAGCGCTGTGTATTTTGGGGTACAGCTGAAGGTAAACTTGAATCGTGGATATGAATGAATGTGACACCGCTATTGATATCAAAGTTTTAATCCCTACGATTTTAGCCCTGGGGGATTTGACAATACGGCTCTGATACGACGTTAGGTGGAGAGTGAAAGTGAAATCAATGACATTTAAAAAAACAGTAACCTTGATAACATGCATGCCTCACTTATGTGAATCCCTTGTACCAATTTGGGTAAATAATAATACAAGAACACTATAACAAAACGTTTCTATATATACATTGTTTTAGAAGTTGCAATGTGCTATAAAAATAACCAATTAAATACAAATATTTACATAAACATAAGAAGTTTCGAGTAAGAATTTACACATTGTACTTCAACATTATTAATAAGACATAATATGATAACTAATATATCAACACTGGATTTAATACCAATCAAATAAAAACAATTCCCTCTACATAGAACATGCAGTTTATTTAAATGTTGGTGAAAGCCTGTGATTGGTCAGTTCACCTGTCAGCAGCTCCTTCAGTCTCTCCCCTGTTTGTCTCCTTTAGTTATTTCAAGTGTTTCATGCTAAACGAACCCCCCCTTTTGGAAAATTCTAATCTGACCCCATGGTACCTTTTTAGTTTTCGCCGAAACTATTTCTCTTTTTTAAAATGCGCGTCTCTTCTGCAGGGCTCAGCCGCCGGTAAAGGGTCGAGCAACGGCTCCTTCAAGGGCCAGCGGCTCTTCAGCTGCCCTGAAGCCTGCGCCCTCTTCCTGCCCGTCAGCCACGTGTACGTCCGAACCTGGACCCGCAACAACGTGCAGGACGCTCAGGAGCGAGCCAAGGAGCGAGACCGCCACCGCAGCAGCCACGGCAACGGGCAACACGGCAACGGGCAACACAACAACGAGCGGCAGCATCCTCAGCATCAAGGTCGTCACATCAGTTTCCATCACCCTCGCCCCAGCAGCCCCCCCGTGGGTTTCCTCCCTCGGACAGCAGAGTCAGCACCAATCACGGCTCAGAACCAGAACCAGGTTATTATTATTACTTACAACTTTTTAACTTTTTAATGCTATTTTATTTATATTTCCGAAATACATTGCTAAATCTATCTATCTGTCTGTCTGTCTGTCTGTCTGTCTGTCTGTCTGTCTGTCTGTCTGTCTGTCTGTCTGTCTGTCTGTCTGTCTGTCTGTCTGTCTGTCTGTCTGTCTGTCTGTCTGTCTGTCTGTCTGTCTGTCTGTCTGTCTGTCCATCCATCCATCCATCCATCCATCCATCTATCTATCTATCTATCTATCTATCTATCTATCTATCTATCTATCTATCTATCTATCTATCTAATATCTATCTACTATCTATCTATCTATCTATCTATCTATCTATCTATCTATCTATCTATCTATCTATCTATCCATCCATCCATCCATCCATCCATCTACCCATCTATCTATCTTTCTTTCTTTCTTTCTTTCTTACCGGTGCAGGTCCGAGCCCCTGCATCCCCCCCTCCGCTCCATGTGGGCCAGAGGGTGATGTTCCCCATAGAGGACAACGTCTACGGGGGGGAAGTTCGCTTCTGTGGTCTGCTGCCTGGTCGCTCCTCCTCAGGGATGTACGTGGGAATTCTGCTGGTCAGTACGACACAGGAGATACAACATGTGGTTTTTGTTAATTCATAATTTTAAGTTATCTATAAATTGTATTCTGGCTTATTGGCAGCTACTTTTAAAAACACACAAAAAAGAACAAAACAGTTGAAGTTTTCTTACATTCAGGATTAAAAACAAAGCTATAAACTAAAAAACGTTACTTTCAAACTAAAAGAAAACCTTAAGGTTAAACATTTTCTTAATTTTCTTTTTCATATAATCACATTACACTTTTTTCTCTGATGCTGCAGCCACTATGTAAATATGGCTGTTTTTTGTATGTATACTTGCTAATGAACCCTTATTACCTGATTCCTTATTAGAGCCCCATACTATCTATAATGATGAGTATGTTGTGGTTGTCTCTGTGTTACAGGACGCTCCTGTGGGACAGTGGGACGGTCTTTATAAAGGAGACAAGCTCTGCAACATTCCCTCTCCGCTCTACGGAGCATTAGTGCCCATCAACAAGGTTTCCTCAGGTACGGCAACGGTTGCACAACAGCACACTCGTATTACGATACGATAGGATATACTTTATTGTCCCCGTAAGGACATTTGTTCTGGACTCCTTCCTGCAGTTCCGCATACATGTACATATACAAACATAATAAACATTAAAATACATACCCATATCATCACTCATACACCGTTTGAACAAACACAATACACAGACGCACATACTGACAATGGCCACCTATTGCACAACCCTCATGGCCAACATTTAAAAAGTATATTACATTACATGTGAATGTTAAGAAGCTTAATGGACAGAGGCAGGAATGAGTGCTCATAGCGGTTCAGCCTGATCTTGGGAACCCTGAATCTTCTGTATTGTGTTTAAAGCATTAGTGCACAGCCATTTATAACCAGGTAAAAGGTTCACTGTTGCTTACAGGGATGCTTTGGCAGAATATATGGCATCTAAAAAAACATTTGATAAAGACATTTCAGAGTTTTTTTGGTTATCTATTCCCTTTGGGACATGACCATGTATCTTTACCAGGACCCCATCATTTATTTAAAGGGGACCTATCATGCAAAATGCACTTTTTGATGTCTTTTATACATCAACATGTGTCCCCGGTGTGTCGGGGAACTCACGCAGCGTCAGAAAATAAAACCCTCTCTCTTTTCCTCCGTACCCAAATCTCTAAAAACGGGGGACCAACGGAGCTGATCCAGATTTGCGTCCGATATGACGTAATATCTGAAATGTGGACCCACGGCCCTATCAGAAAAGTTGCTATCAGAAACAATGCCCGACTGTTTTGGACGTAATATGGTCGGTGTTTACATTAGCATCGCTAACACTCAGAGCTAACCTGTACTGGAGAGCATGTGTGTGAAGAAGCAGGAAATAAAAAGGAACTCACCTTGTGGTATAACCGGCAAGAGAGAAAGCCTTTGAGCTCCATACTGTTTCAGAAACAATCCTTGATAATCCATGATATGGCGTTTCATCACGGCAGTATTTAGTTTAGGCGGTAGCTGCCGGGTCCCGCATGAGCTCAGACCCCTACTTTTTTATTTTTTAAAGCTTTATACCCAAAATCAGCACTTTAGAAACAGGAAGTGAAATAGAGGGATATGAGGCATGGCTAGAATGGGTGATCTGTTTGGTATTTTGAGTAAAACACTTCAGAGACATGTTTTTTATATATTTTTATATATCTGAGACCTATGCTATTGCCTACAAATAGCATGATAGGTGACCTTTAATCATATTTGTTTAATCCTGTAATAATGCGTGCTAGATCTGCTGGATTATTAAACCAAAGTATGCATGAAAGAGATGTATTTATACTGGTGGGAAAATTGGGTATTTATAAAAGTATTAATCAAAACATTAAAGTAAAAATGTACAATTAAGGTTAAAATTAAATAAAATGCAACAAAAATATATCGATAAACACTAAAAGTTAGTGTAAAATATGCAAAGAAAGATAGAATAAAGAATAAAATAATAAAAAAAAAAAAAAAATGTTATTATTCAATATATGCATTCATATGCATATTTAAATTTTAATTAATCAAATAATATAAAAATATATTAATTAATTCTAACCCTTCTTCCATTTTATTCCCAGATTCGAAACCCCACCGTCACACGCCGCCTCACCAAGTGACCAAATCCATCCTGAAGCCGGCGCCCCCCCCCCCCTCATTAAGCCCCTCCCCCTGTCGGTCCCCCACTCTGCGCCCAAAGTCGCCCTCATGCCCCCAGGCAAACAAGGGGTTAAAGTTCCTCCACTGCCGCCCCCCAAACCCAACAACAAGCCGCTTCTTCCCCCTCTGACCGCTCCCAAACCCCTCAGCCCAACATCACCCACCTTCACCCCCACACATACCCCCACACATACCCCTACACACACCCCCACACACACCTCCCCTGAACACTCCCATCACAATGGCGTTCACGGCCCCCCCTCCCCCTCGCTGAGGTCTCCGGTCAGCAGTGAGGCTGTGGAGGAGGATGGAGAGGCGGAGCTCGATGGGGGGCTGGAGGTGGGGTCCATGGTGGAAGTGAACGACCCGCCCCTTTTTGGGGTCATTCGCTGGATTGGACGCATCAGTGGGGTGGGAGAGCCGGTGGCAGGGATTGAGCTGGTGAGTGACAGCTCCAGCTTTTATTCAGTTGTTACAATCAGTACTATCCGAATATTAGCAAACTGCTACTCAACATTGGTTCCTGGTAATAAGAGGTAAAGGTTTTTTACAAGATGGCTTCTCATTTTTGTTATTATCAATTTATACAAACTCAAAATGCAACAATTACTTGCAACTCTAAAAGTCACTGTTCTATTGAAGTCCAGATTTGTTCACATCGCTGTCCTAGTATGCACCTGTTACTTAGTTTGAAGACAAAAGTTATATCGGGAGAAATATACAAAAGCAATGTTTGTTATTTGGAAATATAATGAATAATTGATATAGTTTATTAATCTGCTTTAACCTTAGCAGTAACAATACCATTCATGTATTCTTTGTCAGTGCCTTTATGTGTCTGCTGCTCACTCTGTGACTCGAGAGTGAAGATGGTTTATTTAGTGAAGCATTTAGTTTCTTGGAGTTCCAAATTAATCATCATTGCCATGAATAGATGAATAGATGAATGGATGAATGGATGGATGGATGGATGAATGGATGGATGGATGGATGGATGGATGGATGAATTAATGGATAGATGGATGAATGGATGAATGTTCTATATTATTTGAATGACTGATTGAACTCCAGCAGTATTATTCTAGATATGTTTTATGTGTAACTGCTATGCCTGCCATCTCTGCTCTGTGTCATTGTGTTGTCTCCTGGGTTCTGTAGTGTTCGGAGTTTGTCTTTTTATTTTCTTCCTCCCAACCCCCATCCCCTCAGGAAGCCTTTTGCCTCCTGCCAGGTCATCATTGAAAATAAGAATTTGTTCTTAATTGATTTTCCTGGCTAAATAAATGTTCTACTACTACTAAAGATTTAAACATGACAAATGAATGGAGACACGCGAAATCCGACCACTACAGCAAAGCGATGGAAAAGCCATTGCATTGAAGTGTTTGATAAAGCCTCTCTCTCTCTCTCTCTCTCTCTCTCTCTCTCTCTCTCTCTCTCTCTCTCTCTCTCTCTCTCTCTCTCTCTCTCTCTCTCTCTCTCTCTCTCTCTCTCTCTCTCTCTCTCTCTCTCTCTCTCTCTCTCTCTCTCTCAGGACCAGGATCTGTCTGCAGGGACAGACGGCAGTTACCTGGGTGAACGTCACTTCCGTTGCCCCGCCAACAAGGGGCTGTTTGTGAAGCTTCGCAACTGCAGGCGGGACTCCAGATTCCCCGCCCCCGAGACACCTGTCAATCAAGTGGAGCGATGCAACTCTATAGGTAGGGTGGCATCAATATCTTATTAGTACTAATACACCACTGTATAAACTGTAATACACATTATAGTATACATAGTAATGTGCACATTTTACATTTCAATAATTAGTTGTAATTCTTACTTAACCCAATTTGAAGTATTGTGATACTGATGTGTAATTACTGTAATAAGTAACTATAATGAGACCTCAGTTCCAATATCTAACAACTTTTAGAGAAACTATGAAATCACTTCCTCCTGCAGCCGTGACATCTGTGTGTCCTGTGTGTGTCTCTGGTGAATGATTTATTTTGTCTCACTGTGTCTCCTTTGTCTCCCAGCGTTTGCAGACTGGGGCAGTGAGCGGGTGGAGGACAACTCCCCCCCTGTGGAGGGGGAGGAGGCCGCTGAGCTCTACGAGGGCTGGAAGAGAGGCATTCAGGGACACCTCAACTCCTGCTACCTGGACGCCACGCTGTTCAGGTGACAACACAACGCTGTGTACACACTCTGGAGCAGGGGTCGGCAACCTTTTTGATATGAAGTGCCATTTATAAAAAATAAATAAATAAAAAAAAAAGTTGGGATCAGTGTGCCGACGATCGTGAACTGTCAACAGGAGGGCATACTTTAGCTGATACTGTCATATAGGGCTGCAAGATTTGGTGAAAAAGTAATATTGCGATTATTGTGGACAATAATGCGATTGTGTGTGTGTGTGTGTGTGTGTGTGTGTGTGTGTGTGTAGTCTGTTCTCCTGCTGCAGTTCTGCAGACTGGGTTCTGTTCTGGCCCTCGGAACCCGACAGCGACTCCAGCCTGGCTCAGGACCTGCTGCGCTGCGAGATCGTCAACCCGCTGAGAAGGTGGGTCAATGTCTATTTATGAATACCACAAGAACAGTCATATTACAATTGTATGTGCTACTGGTGATACACTAACAATCATCCGTATAACTACTAATAATGCTAGTTCTTCTACTGAGATTGCTACTGCTACTACATGATTAAATGTACCGTATACCTTGTTATGTTATGTGACACTGACATACTGACATATGCTTGGAGAGGGGGATGAAACTGCGATTACATTTGTAAATCTAACAATCGCAGAATTTATGACATTATAATCTGAAATTGAAGTTTTGGCCTTTTCTAAATGTGTGAGTTTGTTTTTGAAAATGTACCACTTTAATATCAGAGAACATCCACGTTTTCTTCTCATTCATTATCGACTTTGTTGATTGTGTTAAATACCACTCTCAAACATCTGTGTGTTTTTAAGGTATGGCTACGTGTGTGCCAGTAAGACGATGGCCCTGCGGCGACTGCTGGAGGCCGCCAACAGCAACATGGGCTTCACCAACCAGGAGAAAGGTGTGTGTGTGTGTGTGTGTGTGTGTGTGTGTGTGTGTGTGTGTGTGTGTGTGTGTGTGTGTGTGTGTGTGTGTGTGTGTGTGTGTGTGTGTGTGTGTGTGTGTGTGTGTGTGGTGTGTGTGTGTGTGTGTGTGTGTGTGTGTGTGTGGTGTGTGTGTGTGTGTGTGTGTGTGTGTGTGTGTGTGTGTGTGTGTGTGTGGTGTGTGTGTGTGTGTGTGTGTGTGTGTGTGTGTGTGTGTGTGTGTGTGTGTGTGTGTGTGTGTGTGTGTGTGTGTGTGTGTGTGTGTGTGTGTGTGTGTGTGTGTGTGTGTGTGTGTGTGTGTGTGTGTGTGTGTGTGTGTGTGTGTGTGTGTGTGTGTGTGTGTGTGTGTGTGTGTGTGTGTGTGTGTGTGTGTGTGTGTGTGTGTGTGTGTGATCTCACTGAGGAATGTTGTTCTGTCCGTCAGATCCTGAAGAGTTCCTCAACAAGCTTTTCCAGCTCCTCCAAGTCGAGCCGCTCCTCAAGATCAGGTAACACCACGGCCTCACACACACACACACACACACACACACACCCTGCTTCACTGTCACACACGCCAGTTGTTTCTATTATAATGCAGGCTTCTAAGTGGAATACAGTTCAAGGATCCAGCGAAAAATGTCACCATGCGTGTATTTGAGCTCTTAGTACAATGTCACATGTACTGTAAAAAATGATTGACAGACTCTCCTCCAATGTTTTATTTCCAATAACTGCATCACATGACCTGTTGAAGCATCTAAACACTCTTCATGAAATCTTCAAATTCTCTCTGTCCTTCTGTCAGATCGATGACTCAGCAGCCTCAGGAGGGTCACCTGTACCAGCTCTTCCCGCCTACACTTCCTCCTTCTCCCACCTCACCTTTACTCATCTCCCCCATCGGCTCCCCCATCCCTCTGGCCCCGCCCTCGCCCAGTCGGATGAGAGTAGCGAGTGTTCAGACGCTGCTGGAGTCTTCCTTCCTCCACGCTGGCCTCAAATTCGTCGAGGTAGCAGAAATAAAGTGTTTAAGGTCCCCTATTATACTGTTTTTCATCAATCTAGTATAGGTCTTAGATATATACAGAACATGTCTCTGATTGGCTGAAACACCAAACAGATCATTGCAGCATTACCCATAATCCCCTCTGTTTCAGCCCTGTTTCAAAAGTGCTGATTCTCTGTCTGTTACTTTAGATGAGAATAAGGAGCCCCTCCCCACGCCCCTCTGTTACCTTGGGTGCTGATTGGCTAATGGTTACACAAGACAAAAAATCGTTATGACATCATAAAGTGGCCAAAATCTGATCAGCTCATTTTCAGACAGGTTTTTATAGAAATGGATCAGGACAAAAAGAGAGAGAATCTTTGTTCCTGAAACTTTCAGAGTCTCTTTACACAGAGGGGACACATGTTGATGAAGAAGAGACATGAAGAAGAGGGGACACATGTTGATGTAGAAGAGACATGAAAGAAGAGGGGACACATGTTGATGTAGAAGAGACATGAAGAAGAGGGGACACATGTTGATGTAGAAGAGACATGAAGAAGAGGGGACACATGTTGATGTAGAAGAGACATGAAGAAGAGGGGACACATGTTGATGTAGAAGAGACATGAAGAAGAGGGGACACATGTTGATGTAGAAGAGACATGAAGAAGCGGGGACACATGTTGATGTAGAAGAGACATGAAGAAGAGGGGACACGTGTTGATGTAGAAGAGACATGAAGAAGAGGGGACACATGTTGATGTAGAAGAGACATGAAGAAGAGGGGACACATGTTGATGTAGAAGAGACATGAAGAAGAGGGGACACATGTTGATGTAGAAGAGACATGAAGAAGAGGGGACACATGTTGATGTAGAAGAGACATGAAGAAGAGGGGACACATGTTGATGTAGAAGAGACATGAAGAAGAGGGGACACATGTTGATGTAGAAGAGACATGAAGAAGAGGGACACATGCTGATGTAGAAGAGACATGAAGAAGAGGGGACACATGTTGATGTAGAAGAGACATGAAGAAGAGGGGACACGTGTTGATGTAGAAGAGACATGAAGAAGAGGGGACACATGTTGATGAAGAAGAGACATGAAGAAGAGGGGACACATGTTGATGTAGAAGAGACATGAAGAAGAGGGGGACACGTGTTGATGAAGAAGAGACATGAAGAAGAGGGGACACATGTTGATGAAGAAGAGAACATGAAGAAGAGGGGACACATGTTGATGTAGAAGAGACATGAAGAAGAGGGGACACGTGTTGATGTAGAAGAGACATGAAGAAGAGGGGACACGTGTTGATGTAGAAGAGACATGAAGAAGAGGGGACACGTGTTGATGTAGAGAGACATGAAGAAGAGGGACACATGTTGATGTAGAGGAGACATGAAGAAGAGGGGACACATGTTGATGTAGAAGAGACATGAAGAAGAGGGGACACATGTTGATGTAGAAGAGACATGAAGAAGAGGGGACACATGTTGATGTAGAAGAGACATGAAGAAGAGGGGACACATGTTGATGTAGAAGAGACATGAAGAAGAGGGGACACATGTTGATGTAGAAGAGACATGAAGAAGTGGATTTTAAATAATAGGTGATCTTTAAAATACATGACTTTTTTTTAATCTTTTGAGATTAAAGACCATGTGTATTCAATGTCCCCCCCCCCACCAGGCTCCCTCCTGCCTCTTACTGCTCATGCCTCGCTTTGGAAAGGACTTCAAAATGTTTGACGCCATCCTGCCCACCCTCAGCCTGGACATCACAGACCTGCTGGACGACAGTAAGCGCCATTTTGGGGAAATAATCTATATTTTAGTTTGTTTCTGGTTTTCAAATTGGTCTATTTGAATAGCGTGGTGCGGTGATGACATTTTTTGTCTGACTCGTAAGTTAGCATCTTAAGGGGTTCCTCACGTGAAAGAGCAAGGGGGTTTTGTCTTTGGGATTTTGGAATTTTAAGATCTTTGGCAAACACACATTTCTGATTTTTGGAGCGTTGATGCAATCGCAAGAAGTAAAAAGCTAACGTTGACTTCAAGACAAGGAACCAGAATTAGTCAAAAGCTGACTCATCCAAGCTTTAGGACTCATTCCTGCACCACTCTATTCAGATCTGGTTTTATTTTGAATCAGATGAATGTATTTAAGTGTCACCTGTGCAGAAGAACTAGCTACATTCACATGAGTTTTTGTGGACTTCATCTAGTTTCCTTTTGAACTGACTGTGTTTTTGTCTCTCTCTCTGTCCCTCTAGCTCTGAGGCAGTGCAGTATCTGTCAGGCTGTGGCTGAGTGGGAGTGTCTGCAGTGTTACGAAGACCCCGACATCACCCCCGGGCGTCTCAAACAGTACTGCAGCACCTGCAACACACAGGTACCCACCTCTAACTAGGGCTGTGCGATTATGGCGAAAATCCTAATGACGATTATTTTGGTCAATAATTGATATCACGATTATTAAAAAAACGATTATCCATTTACTTTGAAAACATCCATTTATTGAAACAAAAATGTGAACAGTATGTTTTTAACAGTTGATTACCCTGAACTTTAAGTATAATTCAACTGAAAAACCAAAAATAAAAGAAAAAAATAAATAATAATAATTACATTTTTTTTTTTTAATAAAAATAATAATCGTTTTATTTCGATTACGTTGTTTTCGTAATCGTTGCAAGCCAAAATCGTAATCGAGATTAAAATACGATTAATTGCACAGCCCTACCTCTAACCTTAGATCTGACTCTAACAAGAAGGTGTTGCAGGTTTAAAGAATATGATGTGCTCCAGGACCAATACATGGGCAAACTACTGGATCCTGTGCATCCATAACATCCTGGTGCAAAATGACATTATATTTATTTGTGTTACTTATTATTTTTAAAGCCTTTGTGGCTGCAGTGGATTGTTTGTTTGCTGACGTTATTTGGAGTGTGTTTTTGGGAGGTTAATGTGGAACACTTACCCTCAGTTTGTGCCTACAATAACATAGAGACAAGAAACAGACAACATATCATAACCTATGTGTATTTCTTTCCTCAGGTCCACAGTCACAGGAAGCGTGCGTCCCACCACCCTGTAGATGTTGCTGTCCCCGGGGGTCCGTGGACCGGCCCCCTGCTGAGCGCCCGGCAGCGGATGTCTCTGTTTGCGGTGACGTGCATCGAGACCAGCCATTACGTTAGCTTCGTCAAACACGGACCCCTCCCCACCGACTGGATGTTTTTTGACAGTATGGCAGACAGGGAAGGTAAGAGACCCTCACTGAAGTACATTATGATAAAAAAAACTATAAAAAAACGCACTGTTAAAACTAAATACTTATTTGAGATGTTGAGTGTAGCTGCGAGGAAAGCAATCACAAAGAAATGGCTCAATGATGATTGATACGATATCATTTATGAAATTAAATATTACCCCGATACGCCCTTCTTTTCTTTAACTGTTTGAATATTTTATTTAATTATCTATACTGTCAATGTTTTATATTGAAAAGAAAACACCCCATGTTCTTGTGTGCTTATTGTTGTAAGAAATAGATAAAATACGGACCACTCAAAAACTAAAACTTTTTAACTACATATGTATATGTACACTGAAGTTGAAATGTGATCCAAAACAAAAATAAAAAACCCCACTATTAAACCGTATTTTCTCTCACCCAGGTGGCCAGAACGGCTTCAACATCCCCCATGTGAAGGCGTGTCCGGAGGTGGGCCGCTTCCTCAGCCTATCAGAGCAGGAGCTGAGCAGAGTTGATCCCGCCTCCATACGGGAGTCGGCCCGCCGCCTGCTGTGTGACTCCTACATGTGTCTGTACCACAACCCCGATCTCAGCCTGTACAAGTGACACACACACAACCACACACACACACACACACACACACACACACACACACACACACACACTGATCTGAGCGTGGAACAAAACACTGTACAGCCGAACATTTTCTCCTCTGGCTATAGCCTCAGTCTGCGCCTACAATTTCCTGAAAAATAAATACCCGGTGATTCTAGTTCCAAGTATATTTGTTGTGTACAATGTACTTATATTGATGTTACTTTGTATTCATTTCTTGTGCTGGAAAAGCAGATACAGAATGCAATTCCTGGCTTCTTGCATAGAAAACAGTTATCACCTCAAGTGTTTTTTTTTTTCAAGTGACTTTCTGCATTTTTCAAAAGACAGTTGTGTATTTATTTTCCAGCAAATTGGACGAGTCGCTCTCTCTAATCTGAAAATGCATTTAGGACCTATGTACGTATTTGTGACCAAAGCTGGCTTTCCTCAGGACTGATTTTTATCTCAAATATAACAATGGGCTCAATGTCCTTGAGACCAGCAGTATGATCCAATGTGCCTAATGAACAAACAGCCTGTAGTTTAAGAGCACATACTGTATGTATTTAATGATGTGTTAGTCTGATGGGTTGCAGTACTGTTTTTTTACACCTGAGTTTACCTGTGCCTTAATATTTGCTCACACTGTGCCTGTATCATATAACACACTTTTCAATTTCAATTTGCACTGCTTCATTTACATGTCAGTATGTGTGTGTATATATCAGCTTTGTCTTAAACTGACTGTAAAGATTGCACAGAGATGTTTAAAATGTTTGTACTGTTTACAGGTTGTTTAATATAGTACAGCTACAAACAATGGGGACATTGTACAGAAATATAAATGCTTTGATGCTATTCTAGTTTGTTTATATTTCTCTTTTTTTCATTGAAATGTCTCTACAAGCTGCAACAGGGTGTCCGCGGGGTCTTAAAAAGTATTAACCGGCATTTTCCAAGGTATTACATTTTGTAGCTTGTTTTCAATAAGTATATAACTTGTCCAAAGAGGTTGTATTCTACAGTCTGCCTGAATGTAATCATTGCGTAGGTGTGTAGTGTGATTCTGTGTAGTTTATTTATGGAATCCCGTTGGGTTTGACGTCATCTGAACAGGACATCGCACGCTCACTGCTTGATAGCGCGCGAAGCTCCGTTTACGCCGGTTGTTAAACAACATCGTTATGGGGAAATGCAAGTTTGCGTCCAAATGGTTGGAAGATAAGGAGGAAGGACAATCAATACTGTATATAGTCAATGTGAGGTAAAGTGTGTCGCCAATGTAACCGGTTAAAACTCGAAGTGGCGATGAGGTCTTAAAATGTATGGAAAGGGTCTTAAAAAAGGTCTTAAAAGGTCTTACATTTGACCTCAGGATTCCTGCATATAACCTGTACAAACAAGGTACAATACGACACATACAAACAATTACACCAAATTGCAATTAAAAAATGAAATAGAAAATACCTTAATTTTGAATAATATGAACGTTTTTACCAGATTACAATAAGTAGAAGAAAAATAAACAAGGTATTATTCATTAGTTTTAAAGAAACGATATGATATTATATATACTCCTGTTCGTTTTTAATATAGTGTGAAATATCTGAAAGCCATGTTCTGTACAATTTTTTTTTAAAGCATGTTTACAGAAATAATCATGACGCAATATCCGGATGCAGCGTAACGCGTCACCTGTGCGTGCCCCGGAAACAGTGAGTGACGAATGGTCGATTTGTTCCCCAGAACAGCAAGCTACATTTTCACTAATTTAATAAAAAAACCCGATAAATAAACCATAAAGCAGTGCTTTGGATGCTCTTATAAGGTAAGATGAATGCTCAGTGACAGTGTGTTACACTTATTTTGGATATAACTTCCTGTTTGAGTTAAAAACAACGACGAAGTGTTGATAGCATCATCATTTGCATCGTGTTAACACGATTTAATGTCATTTTTTGGGGTTTGTAGTGTCATGCTAACATTGTTTTGTATTAGAGAAGAATGCACAGTTGCATCAGCTTCATTATTATCATTACACTTTGCTTATGGCAGCCTCCTTGTGGCTTTTTAATTCGTCTAACGGAGCGAGATTCAATTAAGTCAATTGTATTTAACGCATGACATTTGACCTTATGTTATTAACATATTTACAACTCCGTATTTTGGAGGTAAACACCAATATGTTATGTTGTTGTCGTGATTGAAGGTGCAAAACAATGAAAGCATTTCCCAAATATATGTAATACACGTAATTGTCATTTTAATAATATAAACATACTACTGGAATGTTGTATCCAAGGTATAAAAACGGACTATACATGAAAACATCAGGATAAACAAAGTCAAAGAATGCTAGTTATGACTTATATATGTGTTGTAATATATAATATATATGCATGCTTTCAACTGGAAACATTAGGATTTAAAATCAGTAACAAGCCCAATTTTTACAGCAGACAGTTGTGTAAAAACTGGATTTGTTACTGATTCTAATCCTATTTCTTTAGTTGAAAGCATGCCTTTATATGTTATATTACAC